GCTCGACCAGCCGGTTGACGGCCCAGCCCTGCATTATATATGATTCTATAAAGAAATACGAAAAAGATGATTCATGAATCATCTTATTTGTATTTGCGAGGATCTGGGTGCTCGGCAGGCCTAAGGGGCCCCTGCTACAGATGTGCCTGCCCTAAGTGAAGGCGGGGCTAACAAATCACGAGAGGCCCTTGACTGTCAATTTCGCATCTGGGGTCCAGGCAATTGTGTCGCGCCAGTTGGTTGAGGGAAAACTTAGGCCGAGCAGCAAAGAAGTTCCACGGCCTTCCAGGCCTTTCCTGAAAATGCAGGCCCTGGGCGAGAATCGCAGCCTCATACACAGACAGTTGGGAGGCCCAACCGAATGGGGCCCAGTAGCTGCAAAGGAGGCTCAGCCCCGTGGGGCCTACCGGAAGCTTCTGGGCCGAGGCCCAGGCCAGCCAGGCTGCGAAAGCAGACCGGCTCTTTCCATATAGGAAAGAGCTCGCTGCCTGGGCGGGCATTCAGCACTTGCATGCTGGAGCGGACGCTCGTGTGGTGCTGCTGGCGCTGAGAGGCAAGGTGCTAGCACGTACGGTCGTGTGTGAGTCAGGGTGCTGCTGAGGGCAGCGCCATAGCCCAGCTTTCATAGCTGGCTGGGGCTTGGTCGACAGTGAGGCGCAAAGGTGGTCTTCGGGCGTATAGAGGGAAGACGTGGGTGTAAGTCAGGGGAGAGAGAGAAGGATGATGATGATGATGATGTGAGGGCACATACCTGGTATTGGCGATGGTCTGCTATGGGCGACATCTTCAAGTACTTCGTTGGCTGCTGACGTCAACAGTTGCATTGTCAATTAGTAGGCTGGTAGTAGCTGTGTAGGGAGTAGGCTGGGCGCCGAGCGCCAAGTAGGGAGATAGGCCTGAAGGCCCTGAACACATATGTTGGTGGTGGCGAGAGCAAGCTCTCATTGACATTGATTTTCAGTGTTACGATTCTCCAGTGGTGTCATATTGGTGCAATGCTGCTTTCTGGACACTGTGATACGATCTGGCTTTCAGTGTGATTGTGCAATCCGAATATTGTCTTCTCGCTATTGCTCATTTTCCTTGCAATTTGGTATCGGAGCTGGTTCGAACTGCGCTTCATTGATTCTTCGCAATAGCTGTTTGGTGCTTCGCATGAGGTGTGGGGGAGTAATAAGGCTTGGGCGTTGAATGATAGGCGGTCCAGGGTCGTGTGGGCGCGCCAGGAAGCTATGTGGTGACATTAGGCGTGTACGCTGGATGATGAGAGCTCGCTGATGTGGCATTTAAGCCGAGGAGGAACTGCATTCTGCTGTTGGTTGTGCCGAGGCAAAGACCGGTCATCATAAATGCACATCAGGTTGCCGGTGAGAAATCTGTGGTTGGGGGCAGCATTATGAGGTACGTTGCTCTCTTCCTTGTCTACCCTCGTCATTACTGCTTACCGTGAGGAAGTGAGTTCTGTCTTGAGAGTCCTCTCAATGTGAGGTGTCGCGAGCGCCCAACCTTGAGAGTCGACATTCTTCCTGGGCAACAAGCTGGTGGGAGACGGGCGAAGCCTCTGAAGGGCCCTGGACGAAGCACTCGGGTCACGGTCACCATGCCAACCCGTTGGGACTAGTACACGCATGCTTTGCCACAAGTCCTTGGTTCTACTGCTTCGCAATAGAGGTCATGCAGCGCACGCCAGCCTTTTGAACAAACGCTTACCAGACCGTCTCCAAATATTTTTGGCGGGTTCCGGTGTTGAACCCTAGCTGTGATCGTCGTCCTATCTGCGACGTAAAATAATTCCTGAGGACTTGGGGGTTTGTCCTTGTATCAAAATATTTATTTCTCTAAAAAAAGTAGAGTCTATTTATGAAATCTCATCTATCAAATAAAATTGCCTCTTGATCAGCCAGATCAAACTGGAAGTAAGACTCGTTGCATGTGAGGGTAAACAACGTGTAGGGGCTGGCAGGTTCGGCGTAGACTTGGGGCACAAGGGTGGGCCGAATTGCACACCTTCAGACATGGCGCTCAACCAGATGTTCGGGGCATTGACACAAAGTGACTACTCAAGGCGAACACAGGGGGAAGGGGGGGTTCCGGTAACTGTTCGCAGAGTTATTAATTAGGAAAATATTCCACTCAGCATGCATCTCTGCAGGAGACACTATTTTTATTTTTGATTATTTAGTTGTTACAGACTTGGCTGACAACTAACAGACAACTGCAGATAGTTAGTATTCCTTGCTGTATGCAATCTGTTTCAGAGTAATCTAAAAATAAAATTAGTATCCCCTGTAGGATCTGACATTAGTTATTGGTTACCGCTTGACTATTTTCTCCAGGCTGACCGAGATGTATTCATTATTTTTATTCGGTTGGGTGTCAGGCTAAGGTAGGATTCAGTGTGGGTTGTAGTTTAGATCACACTCCACTGTAGCTCGTGAGTGAAGCTGCTAGCAGTGAGGAGTAGTAGTTAGTGGAAGATCTTAGGGTTACTCGTAGAACTTCTCTCAGTCGGCCTTTGACCTTCCTAGAGTTAGGTCCAGGAGAAGAAAGGAGGCTGCGGAGAGAAGCTAGGGAGAGAGCGGCATTGCGGAGAACGAGGGACGCTGAGGCCAGCGCCAGGACTAGGAGTATAGCTAGCACAGGTGTAACCATGGCTACCTCCTTTACTATGTCACAGGCCTCTTCTCAGGCCTCTTCGTCGGGATTCAGTCAGAGTACCCAAGGCTCCAGAAGTCAGACTGTTGGTTTGCAAGTCAGCCAGCAGCCCCCGCTCACGCCGGAGGATTATGAGATCCTCCAAGCGGAAGCTCTTCATGATGCGTTGCACCGGCAACTGAGAGAAGTAGAAGAGAGAAGAGAAAGGGCTAGATTGAGAAAAGTCAGGTTAGGCACTAGGTTGCAGGAGCTAAGAGGGTTAGAAGAACTAGATGAGTCTACATTGAATCCTGTTGATCAGGCGCTGCGAAACTCGCTACTTTGTGTGTGAGAAACGCAGGTAGTTCAACAGGAATTGTTGGCTGAACTAGTGGCAGGCCAGAAACAAATTTTGGCTGCACTTCAGGGGCCTTGTCCAGTCATGAGGCAGCCCCACTTCTATGTAGTTTCCCCTTCGGTTCCAAGTCCTTCAGTGACGCCGTCGCCGATAGGGCCATCCTTTTCACCTATGTATGGCATGTCTCTCTTAGGCGGACAACCAATAGCTAGTGGTCCGATTCTTATTTCTTCTTCTGTACCATCGAGGATGGTGGCAGCTACAGTGCCATAGTCTGGACAGCCGCAGGTTAGCATGCAACAACCTGTCTCAGTGGCTATGCGGCCACTGCAGCAATCACCTGGGCAGATCCAAGCCATGCAGTGGATGTCGAAGATACCCTTGTTGAGTCCTAAACCCTTCTCTGGCGACAGGAAGAAGGACGAGGACCTGGATACTTGGGTGAGGACTGTGCCAGTGTGCCTGCCTATGTGAGGCACAAGCTCACAAGGCCAGAGCAGGAAGTCATAGTTGCTGCCTCCTTTTTAGAGGGATTAGCAGCACGTTGGTTAAACGGGTTAGTGCAGCAGCAGGGCTATGGTCAAAACTTCGATGTATGGGCACAGGCCCAGATATTGGAAGATTTTGTACGGACTGCGTACAAGAGGTGGCATGACCCTCAAGGGGCTCAGAAGGCCACTGACGCGATCAACAATCTTTGTGGCCAAAGGTACAAGAATGTACATGAGGTCACATACGCCATAGAATGTCTGATTGTAGTACCTGGTGTGCACTTCGACCCGCAGGTACTCCTCACGTATTATTTGAGATGTTTGCCAACATATGTAAAAAATAAGCTGGTGGACGAGGCCTACATTGAGCAGCATAGCTTCGCCTCATTCAGCAAGAAAGTCTTAGACATAGAGGCTAAGCTTAGGTCCACGCATCAGAGTCAGGGAGATGGTAGGAAGAAGAGACTTCTCCAGGACAGAGAGAAGAATGGTCAACTCATGTTTGTCGACCATGATGGTCAGACAACTGAGATTGACGACTTCCCAGATCTAGGGGATGCGACAGAGCAGGATGGGGCCAGCGAGACGTCGGATTGGGGAGTCGTGGCTCCTATCAAAGAAAAAGTTAGGGGGATCGGGAAGCAGAAGGTAGGCCAGTCTACGGGTCAGGGCGACCAAGGAATACCCGCATGGGTAAAACTTGGTTTAGATTACGAGGTGTGGAGAGACCGAGTTGCTAGGGGCACGTGCATGAATTGTGGCAACTATGGCCACACATCTACAACGTGTCGGGGCAATAAAGTCACAATGAACGTAGCCTCTCCAACAGTGGTGGGCTTATCTTCGAACCCTAGCGGTGCTTCTGCAAGCACTTCGCAGGGAAACACATCGGGCTAGTAGGAGTGTTAGCTGCTCTTATGCGCGCTGGAGTGGTAACGTTGCCTTCCCCACTTTAGGCGTTGGTCAAGGCTAGTGACCCATACATCGCCCAGCAGACACATTCAGACCCACCAACACTGTTCGAGAGATGTGTCAAAGTCCCTAGAAGAGTTACAGACTGAGTGGTCAGGGAAGGAACCCAGAGACTCTTGGGCGATGATCACTAGAGGTCCTAGAACATTTTGTGGTAGAGGTTGATGTAGGTGGCCGAAAAGTGGGTGCCTTCACAGACATAGGCTCTACACGGAATTTCATCAGTCGTGCTTGTGTGGATAGACTGCGCTTAGGGGACCAAGTGCAGCGGCTTAGCAGAACTGTAGGTTCTACGCTAGCCAACAAGCACCAAATGGTAGTCAAAGACTATGTCAAGGACATAGTTTGTACCTTCTCTTATGGAGGAGGGGAAGTGAGACATAAAATCTCATTCCTCGCCAACTACGAACTGCCCTTTGATATGTTGCTAGGTATGTAGTACCTCGAGGTCACTTAACCTCAATTTGATTGGGATTGAAAGATGTTGATGCACAAGTTGCTAAATGGTAGGACCGTTAGACTGTAAAAGTTCAAGGCTAGTAGTCTAGTGGAAAACTATGGCTGCATGTGTGCCTCCTCTTTCAATAACTACTGTAAGCAAAATCGCGAGGAGGGCATCTATCTAGTTTTTGTCTCTGAGAAAGGGGAGGCCGTAAAATCACTCCAGAGATAAAATTACTTGTCGCGCAGTATTCCAACCTTTTTGAGGAGCCCACAGGCGTGGTGGAGAGGGAGGTGGTCCATGAACCTTTTTGAGGAGCCCCAGGTAGTAAGGTGCCTAGAGGACGAATCTATGGGATGTCTCATGCAGAGTGGGATGAGCTCTGCCGCCAGCTAAAGGAGCTCAAAGAAAAGGATGGATTTGACCTAGTACCTCCCCTTACGGCGCTCCAGTTCTATTCGTTCCTAAAAAGGGAGGTACCTTAAGGATGTGCATTGATTATAGGGGCCTCAATGCCATCACTATTAAGAACGCAGGGTAACGCAGAGCCCCTACCCCGCATCGACAACCTATTGGATAGAGTGCAGGGATGTCGGTACTTTACTAAGATAGATCTAAAGTCTGGATACCGTCAAATTGCCATTAGACCTGAGGACCAGCACAAAACCGCTTTCCAGACCAAGTACGGTCTATACGAGTTTGTGGTGATGCCCTTCGGCCTATGCAATGCCCCTGGAACATTCCAACACGCAATGAATATGATTTTTCATGAATACTTAGACAAGTTTATCGTCGTGTACCTCAACGATATCCTTATCTTTAGTAAGACTGTAGAGGAGCACGCTGAGCACTTGAAAATAGTGCTAGGACTCCTAAGACAGCACCAATACAAAGTTAACTTTGAGATGCGAGTTCGGTCGCACCAAGATCTTGTATCTGGGTCATGAAATTTCAGCAGACGGGTTGAGGCCGGACGATGCCAAAGTGGCCAGCATACGTGACTGGCCTAGAACTCAGATTGTCACTGAGGTCAGATCGTTTTTGGGGATGACGGGCTACTATCGTCCGTTTGTTAAGAACTATAGTACTATAGCTTCCCCATTAATAGATCTAACTTGACTTGATACGATCTGGCTTTCAATGTGATTGTGCAATCTGAATATTGTCATCTCGCTATTGCTCATTTTCCTTGCATATTTCTTGTAGTATATATAAATATTTCATAGAAATATCTCAGAAATCTATAAATTATTATATTAAATTGATTGTATATAAATTTATTGATAGTATTATTGTATAGTATAGATATTATATATATAACAATCCCGGCCAGGCCCCCGGGCCCCCACAACGCTGCCCCACAAATCGCTTCGAAATGTTTTTTTTGCTCTTTGGGTTGAAGGCCCAGAGGGAAAAAAAATTTATGGCGGCCGCCCCAATTTTGTTTGGGGTCCGGTAGCCCCCATTTCGTAGGTTTTTTTTTTTTTTTTCTGGGACCTGGGCCGTCGATTTGTGTTGATCGATGACGTGGAAGTCCCAAGATTTTGAATTCAAACCTTGGGACTTACCGCGCGGCCCTGCACTTTCCGCCCTACCGCCCCGCACCAGCGCGTTGTTTCCCTGCCGTTGTCACCTTGTCGTGGTCGTCCCCGCCATCGTTACCGTTTACCTGCAGAGCCATGGTCGTCATGACCCTGCTGCCCTCCGGTGCGCCACTGTCATCACTGTCCAGCCACGCCATCCTCCCCGCCCCTGATGAAGACTGCCTGCGCAGCCATCGCCAACTCAGGTAAGTTCTTTTCTTCTTTTTCTTCTTCTTTTTCTTCTTCTTTTTCTTCATCTCTACTATGTATTTGTTTGTTCTTCTTCGTTTCGTCTCATTCTTCTTCCTCTCCTTCTTCTCCTCCAATTCGTCATGTTCTTTTCCTTCTTCATTGTTTTTTCGTCTTCTTTTATTTTCCTTCTTTGTCGTTTCTTCTTCTATTTGTTCTTATTCTTCATCGGTTCTTTTTTTTCTTCTTCTCTTTCTTCTTGCCGCCTCTTCTTCTTCTTCTTCTTCTTCTTCTTCTTCTTCTTCTTCTGCTGCTGCTGCTGCTGCTGCTGCTGCTGCTGCTTCTGCTTTTGCTCTCGTGTTCTTCCTCACTGTTTCTTCCTCCGCCATAGCGCTTAATCAACAAATCATCATCTTTTTTTTTGTGTGGGAATGCTTGATTATGCTTCGGCTCCGTCTGCCATACCCTCCCTCCTCCCTCCATAGACTCCCTCCCCCCTCCTCCTCCATCAGTCTCTCTTCCCCGTCCTCCTCCCTCGTTTGACTCCCTCTCTCCATCAGTCTCCCTTCCCCCTCCTCCTCCCTCCATAGGTTCCCTCCATAGGCTCCCTCCCTCCTTCTTCCTCCTCTTCTTACTCTCTCCCTCTCTTCTTGTTCTTCTTCGTCATCTTCTTCATCCTCCTCTTCTACTCTCTACGGTCCTTCTGGGACGCGATAGTCCTCTTCTTCTTCTTCGTTTTTCCTTCTTCGCTAGAGTTCTGCCCCTACCTCCTCCTACCTCCGGTAGAGTTCTGCTCCTACCTCCTCCTACCTTCGGTAGAGTCCTGGTCCTACCTCCTCGTACCTCCTGCCATAGTCCCTCTTCCTCCCTCCTTCCTCCCGCCATAGTCCTCCCTCCTTCCTCCCTGTCTCTTATACACATCTAGATGTGTATAAGAGACAGAAAAAATTCCAATATTCAGAGTTT